GGGTTCTGTCACTGTCCCAGGAGAGCATCAATATTGCTGATGTGAAAGACCTTGGATGAGGCATTGCTGCACCTGGCCAGGGTCCTCATCATCAGAAAAATGCAGAATTAAACAGAAGCTGCTGTCTGTGCGCTTGGTTACACTTGTCTCGTGCACCGTGCAACCCCTACTGACCGCCTGCCCTTGTCCCAGGTGCAGAGCCAGCTCCTTCTGAGGTCCAGGGATGGTGAAGCTCTGTCCCGGCTCACTTACCACTTTCTCTCTCTCCCATGGAACAGCACAAGGAACTGTCTACAAAGAATGACAATGTAAGAGGTGCTCCCCAGGAACTGTAAGCCTCCCTGGGGTGACTTCCCAGTCCAAGGGAAGATTAAAAGTCCAAATCCTAGCAAGATCTTTGCAAACCCCTTGACTACCCGCGGCTCACCCTAGACAGGAATAACTGTCACCACCAGGGGGCGCTGTGGGACAGCCCTGAACGCTCCACAAGCTGGGGACGGGGATACCCATCCGAATAACCCCAAGGCGTCCATCCTGATTGCCCCCTTTTGCCTCAGGGTCCAACAGAGTCGCTTCTGATCCTGTGTGTGTTTCAGTAGACTTTAGTTACTTATTTATTTAGCATTTTTAGGTTTAAAGGAAAATTGAGTAGGAGTCAGAGATTTCCCTATAGCCCCTGCTCTGATCTTATTGAAAAAGTTACTATTTTGTTAATCACAGGTTTGAGGACCATTGATTTTGATTTTTTTTTTAAATGCATTAAGGCAGTATTTATCTTGATAGTTGAGTTGATTGGCTTGACCTTAAATTTTGCATCTGCAGTAAATGCCACATTCACTTCTGGTCCCAGGTCTGTCCCCCATTCTACCCATGGAACCACCAGCATGCCAAAGCCCAAGGAATTCTTGTCATTTTCCCAGGCTCCATGGTTAGAAAGTGCCAACGACAGGCTCAGAACAAACAATCTAACTTCAGCATATCTGATATATTAGTCTTTGTTGTTGTTGTTACTGTAATGAAATACTTGAAACAGGCTACTTTATAAAGAAAAGAGGTTTGTCTTGGTTCAC